TGTCATCTTGAGACAACACAAGAGACAAGTGATACAACAGCTTGGCTATTAGTTTGGCTGTATAATATATTTAAGTCACTGCAGTTCATCTGGACCAGGGGATCAACACTAAACACATCTATGTAGCCACTTGTGTTGCATGGACATATTCACAAGTAAATCAAACAGGTTGAGTAAGCAATAATATCGTTCACTCGAAAAATATAATGGCTCTTACAACCAAATTCGCGGCATCAGACCAAGGACGACACAAACTTAAAAGTTTAAGGAACAAAACATGGTCTGCAGTGCAACTGAAACTTGATCAACAAAAGAAGGCTACTACCATGAGCAGCTATTACACTAATGACTTGGAAATAAATCTAGCATCCACTGTTTATCAATTTATTTAGCCATATCTCTTGATGACCAGCAGCCGTCGATGATACTCAGGTCTTCAGGAAGAACCCCCAACATGAACCTATAAAAAATTGACAAGTATATTAATGGACTGTACGACAAACAATAATAAACCTAGTGAACTGTTATATCTTACATGTAAAAGAAAGAGGATACTGCATGCACAGCTAATTATTTCTCCTATTGGCAAACTTTTGCCAAATATGCTCAATTAAGTCTTGTTTCAATTGTTTATGTGTTGGTTGATGATGGATATCTGCTCTTCTACGTAAAATTTCAGAGAAAATTGGGCCTCCACCCTTTTGTACTTCTGGAGGTAGAGCAATTAATGATCCACCTTGCTCATTCAAGTCAATAGGAAATTTCACCATCTCTTTCTCATCTTCGACTATCATATTGTGGAGTATGACACAAGCTTTCATTATTCTCCCAATACTCCTCCTTTCCACAGACGTGATGGACGACACACGATATTAAAACATGACTGCAAAACTCCAAAAGCACGCCCAATATCTTTCCTGCACCCTTCTTGGTTCAATGCATACAACTTGTGTTTCTCCATCTGAGGTGCTTTTATCGACTTCACAAAGACTGCCCATTCTGGGTATATTCCATCAGCAAGGTAGTAGCCTGTGTTATATTGCCTCCCATTAACAGAAAACTGAACTTGAGGTGCTTGACCTTTCAATGCTTCAATGAATAATGGGGACTTCAGCACGTTAATGTTATTATTAGAACCAGGCATACCAAAGAAAGCATGCCATATTCTGAGATCCTGTGAAGCAACTGCTTCTAGGATGATCGTTGGGACTCCATAGTCGCCACGGGTAAATTGCCCCTTCCAAGCCGTAGGACAATTTCCCACCTCCAATGCATGCAATCGATGCTTCCCAACATGCCAGGAAAGCCACGAGACTCATTCACCTGAAGTAGACGCTGCACATCTTCAACTGTGGGAGCACGCATATACTCCCCTGAGAACACCTCGATCACACCTTGTGCAAACTTGTCTAAGCACTCCAATGCAGTGCTCTTCCCAATCTTCAAGTACTCATCAAGGGCATCAGTAGGTGTGCCATATGCAAGCATGCAAATTGCTGATGTGCACTTCTACAGAGGTGAAAGCCCTTGGCGATTTGCACAATCTGCTCTTAGAGTGAAATAGGGAGACCATTCACTCAGGGCATTGACGATGCGCAGGAAGAGATGCTTTCGCATCCTAAATCTAGTACGAAACATCCTTTCAGGGTAGAGGGGATTTTCAGCAAAGTAGTCTGCTACGAGACGTTGGTGAGCACCTTCATGATCCCTTTGGATACACTTCCTTGGACCACTTTGGCGATGAGAAGGTCCTAAGTTGAAGGTGTCTATGAGCTGTGTAGCAATGGAGCCTAGGACATTTTGTTGGGCAATATACTCTTCTATAATGTTGGCTGGATCTAGTTCCTCAGAATCATAAGAACAAGAAGAAGATGAGTCAGACATAGTTGGGAGAGTTGTTTGAGATAGAAAGAAGATGAGTTTGAGAGGAGAGGAGAGGAAAGAGCAATATATAAAGATGGAGCATAGAAGAGAGTTACGTGGTTTATTAACGTTGACTGCATGATTATCAGCAGTACTAATTTATATGCATTGAAATAGGAAGCTGATTTACTACTGTTGACTGCATGATTATCAGCAGTAATAACTCTATGATTACCAGGAGTACTAATTGCAATAGTGATACTAATAACTCCATAGAATTCATACCTGATTCTTTTTAAGAGCCACCATTTGCATCTGTAAAAGGAAAAACATGACATCAGCAAAGTATAACAAAATTATGTTACAAAATATCAGTTTACAGAATTAATAAATGCCAAGTGCTCAACTCTGATTCAGTTTATCAGTTTACCTGATTCAGTTTTGCCAAATATACTCTCCCTCACACATCTCATAAATGCCAAGTGCTCAACTCTGACATCATCAGACATTGCACTTGTATCTTTCATACTGAGTGCTCTGTACATCTCCAGCATAGCCGACTTAGCATTTTCTTTGGCTGCAAGATGGTTAAGTCTAGCTGATTCAAGCTTCTCACTTGAAACGTGTTTTTGGGTTTCCAACATCTTTTCTCGACTTTCATTTGTGCCCTGAAGTTTTGTAAGCTGCTGTAGGACATCATCCATCTGAGAAGGGCATTTCTTGGCCTCTTTCTTTGCCTCTTTCTTTGCCTTTTTGTTGCCTATTGGACGACCTTCAGATTGTGCCAAATAAGGCATGAGCTCTCCCTACACTCCCCTCAGTATCCAAATTCCTTTTATTTGACTGCTCACCTTCCTCTAGTTGCGCTTGCCACTTTGGTTCATCACGTAGAATTTTTCAACAATGCTTGAACGTAAATGGACCATCTTTGTATTCCTCATAGATAGCTTCGGCCTTCTCCATTATCTGGTCATCAGAATGACCACTAGGCCAAATTGATGTAGCCTCTTTCCATGAGTTGCAGAACCAAGTGACTTTTTTCTTAATTTTTTGAAAGTGGTTCTTCAATTGCTTTGTTCTTCTTCTACTTTTAGGGGTGGTACTATTATACTCATTAGCAACATCTCCCCAATACCGATCAGTCTTCTTGCTGTTGCCATTGATTGGATCGTTTGAATTGTTCACCCATGCAACCACCTACAGTGCAAGCAAGTTTAGTGTTGTTAGCCATGCAAGACATACATGAATATACAAAACAAATATATAATGTAACTCACCAAGCGCACTTCCTTCGGCTTCGTCCATTTTAGCCGTATGTCAATCCTAGCACCATTTCCATCATCCTCATCATTGTCTAAATTGATCAAGGGTCTGGGGTCATGGATGAGACCCGAAGTCGTATTCTTCTTGGGCTCCCTTTCCTCTATTTCCATCAGCCTAAATGTGGTGGGATCGGCTGGGAAAGTGGCTGACTCCATGGGTGATTGAAATAGCTGAGGAAACCACCAGGTGGGAGATTATCCACACCCCTGCAACTAGATAAATAAATCCATATGGCTATAACAGCTTAAAAAGGGACGAAATCAACTAAAATTGGAATACTCGTACAGTGAAAACCATGATTCCTTTCATATGTGTTCAGAATTCAGGATACAAATTGCTAGATACTAACAAGCTCTAGAATCTAAATACTAGTACATTAGCATATACGATATTAGGGACGACAAGATTGCATTGCATTTTCATAAAAAATTTATAGCATAACAAACCAAGAATCTGCAGTTGTACTAGAATGAATGAACAAGTACAACAGTAGCAACATCTCCCCAATACTGCAGTTCGGAAGCAGAGGAGGTGCTGTAGCTCGCGGATCCGGCCGTTGGGGAGCTTGCCGGCGGCGGTGGAGCTGTGGGGGAGTACCAGGAGGCTAGCGCGCACCCGTGGCGAGGCTCAGCACGGCCAGGGCTTGCCCATGGCGGCCTGGCCACGAGCGCCTGGCATCTGTCACTGGCGGGCAAGCTTGGCTGCTCTCATGGCGCGGGCCATGGAGGAAGGGCGCGGAAGCTGCGGCGCTGCAAGGGGAAGATGATGCGGTGGCTGGTTGGGGTGGAGGAAGAGGAACGGCGCGGCACCACGGAGGCAGGGAGCTCGGCCGACCCGGCTGTACTAGTAACGAGAGGATCTCCAAAATGAAGATGCAAAGATGTGCGCAGGAGGTACTTGCCATTCCTTTGGATCAGAGTCGATGTCATCTTTCTAGACTGGTTGGGAAGACGCAGCCTTGGGCGCCACCAGCCTGACTACTAGGCGCAGCCACCACGCAGCATAGTTTTTGGGGGCGTGGCCCGCACCACCAAGGGCCGGAGCTACTGACCCCATCGTGGTGTTCATGGAAGTGGTGGCGCAAGGAAACACCCAGTCCGGAGGACCTCGTGGAGTCTTGCATGGTGGCATGGGGACGGACGAGAGGAACATGGAAAGGGTGAGTGCGGCGTGGCGCCATCTCTCTCTTCGACCGTGAGACATCCGATTCCAAGGCTAGGGTTACGGCAGATGGAAAATCATAGAACAAATTTTTGGGAGAACTTAAATCGTCACTTGAAGAAGACGATTTTGGCGCCTTGAGTTGAGAGGATTTGGTGCCGGGTTGAGAGGATTTGGCTTGAAGGGGAAATCGCCATGGGAGAGAGCGCGACGGGGAAAATCACGGCGGGAGGGAGAAAGCAGGCGAGGCGCACGGGATCAAGAAAGAAGAAAAGGGGCCCACAAACAGCCTCCGTAATCGACGAGTTCGGCGCTTGATTGGCTCTGCGGCATCGTTTCTCGCGCTGGCGTTCGGCGCAAGCTGTGACACCAAGCTCGTTCTCTCTCCTCTTTTCTCTTTCATCCACCTAGAATTTTGCTGAGCTGTCTTGACTATAAACCAAGCTGACATGGCTTATTGTACCTGCTCTAAAACGTCAAAACAGACTTCTGTAGATTTTGCACGGTACCACGGCCCAGATTCCGCTTGCTCGACCTCCACGGCACTGTTCCCAGCCGCGCCGCTTTCTCGCGCTTCCTCTTCAACCGCCGCTGAGGCTGAACTCAACCGCCTCCTCGGCCTCGCCCTTCCACCCAACGACCTAAGCCGCACGATGCCTCCCCGTCCCCGCCACCACCTCCTCTTTTTCCGCCGCCACCTCTCCACCTCCAAGCCGTCTCCCGCGCTGGCCCCCGCGCCTAAGCCCACCGACCCGGCGCTTCTGCTCCGCCTCTGCACTATCCTCTACCAGCAGCAGCACGACCCCGACGACGCGCTGCGCCGCCGCCTCTCCGCGCTGCCGCTGCCCACCGCGCCCGCCGACATTCGCGAGCTCTTCCTCCAGGCCTCCGCGCGGTTCCCGCTGTCCTGGCGCCCCGTGGACCGCCTCCTCGCGCACCTCTCCACCCTCCACCGCGGCGCCGGCGACGGCGGAGGCGCTGGGTTCCCACACTCCCCCACCACCGCCGCCCGCCTCCTCGACGTCCTCGCCAAGTCCGGGAACATCGACCTCCTCCACTCCACGCTCTTCTCGCTGCCCCGCAGCCTCCTCTCCGCCGCGGCACTCCGCGCCGCCGTGCGGGGGCTCGCCCCCGCCCGCGAGGTCGGGAAGGTCGCCGCGCTCGTGACGCTCTTCCCCGAGTGCCACCGCGCTCGGGTCCTCACGTTCGTCACTGACGTCGCTTGCTCGGAGCCGTGCAGGCTCCCTGACGTCGCGGAGAAGGCGATCAAGCGCGCCGAGCACCGGCACGGCGTCGCGCGCACGGGCAGGTGCTGCGACCTGCTGGTCGTCGCGTACTGCCGCGCGGGGTCTCTCGCGGACGCGTGCAGGGTGTGGAATGGAATGGAGAGGCGCGGCCTCGAGCCGGGTGCCACGGCGTACCAGGAGATCGTGGTGACCATGTTCAAGAACAACCGCGTAGCCGACGCCATGAAGATGTTCGACGTAATGCGGAGGAGCGGAGTGCCGGACAAAGGAGGGGGCTGCTGCTGCGCGGTTGTGTCTTGGCTGTGCAAGGAAGGGAGGGTGTGGGAGCGCGTACATGGTGTTGGCAGAAATGGTAAAACGAGGTCTGGAGGTGGATGGTGAGGTGCTGGGAGATTTGGTGTATGGGCTGATGGTGAGGAGAAGGGTGAGGGAAGGATACAGGGTGTTCCATAGCGTTAAGGAGAAGGACATTGCTCTCTATCATGGGTTGCTGAAGGGGTTGCTGAGGATCAAACGAGCAGGAGAGGCCACCGAGGTGTTCAGGGAGATGATCTCCAGGGGATGTGAACCGAACATGCACACTTACATTATGTTGCTCCAGGGGCACCTTGGAAAGAGAGGTCGGAAGGGGAGGGATCCATTGGTGAATTTTGAGAGCATATTTGTTGGTGGCTTGGTGAAAGCTGGGAGGACATTGGAGGCGACTAAATTTGTAGAGAGGACAATGTGGGGTGGGGTAGATGTGCCAAGGTTTGACTATAACAAGTTTCTGTACTATTTCTCAAATGAGGAGGGGGCTGTAATGTTTGAAGAGGTCGGCAAGAGATTGAGGGAGGTTGGAGTAATTGATCTTGCAGACATTTTGTCAGCCTATGGTGAGCGCATGACCACCAGGGATAGGAGAAGGATAGCAATGAATGGACTTCTCAAATCAGTTTAGGATGTTGGTTGCCAATCATCTCAGGATCTAGGTGCTTGTGATGTTGTATTGACATCAAAGTAAGTATATTGGCCCCGTTCGTTTCTCTTATAATCCGTCTTTTTCAGCTTGTTTTTTCAGCCGGAACAGTGTTTTTCTCTCGCAACAAATCAGCTGGAATAGTGTTTTGGCTTATTTTTTCAGCGAAGGAAAATGCAAATAATTCTTGCTTGCTTTCGTCTTTGTGGTTCTAAGGGTCAAATGGATTAGCATTGGGATGATCTGAGTATTTCCTTTTAGATGATCCATTCATGCTATGTTTGCAGCTTTGCAAGTTTGAATCAAGTCATTTGCACCGCAGTAGTTTTTTTTTTATCAATATGATTGTGGTATGGTAGCATTAGCCAATAGTAGTTCCTTTTACTTTCGTTTTGTCTCATTTATCATTTCTTTTCCAGTGACTTTCTTTGCCAATAGCAATGTCTATTCTTCGTATTCTAAAGTTTAATGGAAGAAACACGCAAAGATCAGCTATGTGGCAGCCTAATTCTTCATTCTTGGAGTCCTCACCAAAAAAGGTATTATTATATTGGTCCTAATTTTGGACCTAAACTTTATTATTATTATTTTTTGTGGGTATTTGCTAGGAACAAAGGAATCCCTGTGTTGCAAGGTACACTTCTAGAAATAAGATTTGTTTATGAAACATAACTTGATGCCAAAATATTAGAGCTCGAAGGTTCTAGTCAGTGTGGTTTTCATGAGGTTTGCTTTATTTGGGTTTTGTTGAGAAAAATCGATAGAGGCCGTGATGGGAGTCAAATAGTTTTTTTTTTCTTTCGTAGCTGCTCTATGCCTCCTTAGCAAACGCTGGTTTGTACCACGGCAACTCTGATGTTGCTTATCTAGAAGCTTAATCAGCTCCACCTTTGTGCCCATGCTGACAATGGCTTGTCTGTCTAGTGACAGCAGCCTGCTAAAGAATGTTGTAGTGGCTAGAAGTAGGTAGAAGTATGGCCAGTATGGCCTTGTAGCTGGTAGTGGTAGGTAGTGGTAGTGGTAGGTAGTGACCTCATTTACCTCAATTTGATTTTATTATAAGGATGTAAGGAATATAAGAGGCTAGCTGCACCTGAATTCAGAATTCGGTAGCACCATTTGCATTGTGTCAATGTGTAAGTTATTGCTCTGTTCTCCACCACCTTCTACCTCCGGTGTGTGTGCACGCGCGCTACTAGTGGTAGTGTCATACCTGTGCTCCTAAGCCAGCCAATAGACCATACACTGCCCCTACCTTCAATCCAGCGGTATTCACGTTGTGTGACCTCGTGCATCCCAAAACGGTAATCCCGATTCTTAGTTATTCTTTTGTGGGCAAACTCTTCATTCGTGTGAAAAGCAATGGAGTTATGACAGGATGGAATGCCGAAGCTAAACATTTCAAGAGGAAGGGCCGATTCACATGAAGACTCGTCGCCAAGGCAAATGATCTAGCAAGATAAACAAGCCCTAACATCGATGTCCCTTGTTCAGCCCCACTGATGTCACATAGAAGAGCAAATCAGATGCTGAGGTGATCGGGGTTGATCATGTGTGCCACGGATCCTCCATTAGTACAAGCACCTGGCTCCATACTGTGCTGCATCACCAATGGTATACGTGCGATGGCACCGACAAACACAAGATTGACGACATGAAAACTGTGTCATGGCACACAAACAGATACACCGCAAAGAAACAGTTGTACACACATGAAGAATCAATGGTGATAGAGCCATCAAACTTGGATCAGAACCATGACTCGCTCCAATAATCTACAAACACAAAACAAATGAGGGTGCACAAGAATACAAATCCCATGTTACCTGAATATCTTGATGAAGTGCAAGCATGTGACGCGCCAAGCCAAAAGTTTAAATAACATCATTTAGGAGATGTAAGGGGAGAGAAGAATGTACCCGTAACATAACATGACTTGGAGGACCGGTAAGTGATAACTGATAATAATACTAGTTTAAAAATAGTAGATACAAAATCATTTATATTTATTGGTGATAAATACATAGTCTGCAGGGAAGCAATGAATGTGTGGGTGGAACATGCAAATGACATGAACAAGCTCTTATAGTTCTTCACATATTGCTAGGCGCAAAACCAGCAGTTCCACTGAGACGTCAAGGTTGACATAGAGGGAGTAATACATAGCTTATTCTGGAGTCTAGCACGCAAATAGAATATGCTTCTAAAGGATGAAAGAATACCAACTTTCGAGTGGGTGTTCCAAACCTTAAAAAAATGCATGGGAGGAAGTAGAACAGGATGCATTATGACAGATATATAGGTTAGGATAGTCGGGAAAGTTGAGCAATTGTACTTTTATGAGGTAGTGCATGACTAAATTTGGACATGGTTGGTGTTGTAATATGTGACAGCCCAAGATCAGCAAGAAAACCTGTACCATCAGCAAGAAGTATACTAGAAAGATCAATATTGTGGCTGATCGTCAGCAAGAATTACACTATAAATACAAACTCCGTCATTAGTTCTTGCCATGTTGCCTCATTAGTGAGTGGTTCAGCATAGAATTAAGCTTTACCATGATCTATAGTTGGGAATGTTGGTGTTTTTCATTTGAAGAGATATTTTGCATGTCTTCTCTGAAGTTCTACTGTGCCTCCCTTTATATTACTTTGCAAACTTTACCTATACATGATCTATGTGACATTTTGTCATATGCTTGTTAAGTTGGATATGCATCTGTATTGAGGCGCACACACAGTCACTACAGAGGTGGGAGATGGAAGAAATACATTATTTTGGAAGGATAAATGGCTACATGGACAGAGTATTGCCCAGATTGCACCTAGACTAGATGAATTGGTGCCTAGAAGAGTGGCTATAGCAGAAGGACTGCTTTTGACACCTTGACTGATTTGCAATGGGTTACTGATATCTGAGGGGCCTTGTCTGTTGTCGTCTTGGCTGATTACCTCAACCTCTGGGATCTAGTCTCTAATGTAATATTGCAGCCTGAAGTTGATGATTCCCATATTTGAATAGGAGTGCTTGGAAAGCAGCTATTGATGTGCCTGAACCGTGACTAGGGGCTTTTGGTGGGTTTCAACTCTAGCCTACCTAACTTGTTTGGGACTGACAGGCTTTGTTGTTGTTGTTGTTGTACCCTGAGGACCATATTATCAGAAGGAAAAGTGTACTGAGATGATGGGTAGCCGAACGCTTTGTGACTGAAAAGCGTGGACTTAGTATCTTTGGAGTGGCAGAAAGCTACTTGACGAGTTCATCAATCGAAGCATTATTCATCCTGTGGACATGAGCTTTACTGGGAAGGTCAAAACATTTCGAGTTCATGACGTGATGTTAGAGATTATTGTGTCTAGGTCAATTGAAGAGAATTTTATCACTCTGGTAGGTGAACAGCACATTTCAGTGCCACGAGAGAAAATTCGGCGACTATCTGTTCACAGTGGAGACATGAAAGATATTGCAACAAGCAAGATGTTATCCCATGTCCGGTCCTTGAGCATATTCTCCGGTAGAGAAACACTGCAGTTTGGTTGGATGAAACTATTGAGAATATTAGATTTAGAAGGTTATGGAATTCTGAGGAATAGATATCTCAAAAATGTATGCAGCCTCTTTCAGTTGGAGTATCTTAGTCTCAGAAAAACACACATCATGGAACTCCCCGCACAAATAGGAAACCCGCAGAAGTTGGAGACTCTGGATATGAGGGAAACGGGTGTCAAGCATTTGCCTTCAGGCATTACCTATCTTCCTCACTTAATAAACTTACTTGCAGGGAGAAGATTTTACAATCACAATGGATTGTGGCCTGTTTCTGAGTATTGGGGGTTGCATGTCCCTAACAAAATTGGCAATTTGGATGCACTTGAAACACTTGAGCAGGTAGAAATCACAGAGTATGCTTCCCATTCCATTAGTGAGCTGGGGAAATTATCTCGTTTGAGGAAGCTTGGGGTAATGATGTTTGTTGATGATGACAACAGCTGGGCATCCTTGATGTCTGCACTTGAGAATATAAGTAGCAGCTTATGCTCGTTATTACTTTGGCGTCCTGATGGGACAATGAACTTCAATTCTCTTGATTCATTATCAAGACCACCATTGTTTATGAGAAGTATCGACTTTTGTGGTCAGTTAAGAAAACTACCGAAGTGGTTCCCATCTCTTTCTAACCTCACTGAGTTAACCCTTCGTGCAACCGAACTAAGTGCAAAGGAAGACCTGGAGGTGCTTGCACGGTTGCCTAGCCTAATCTACCTTCGGTTGCATCACAGTGCATATGTTGAAACCGAATTTGCTGTTGCTGCATCAGAATTCCCAGTTCTTAAGTTGCTTGTCATTCATCTTGCCATGTTTGAAGCTTGGAGGGCAAGATTTCATGAAGGTGCCTTGCCTAGGCTTGAAAAGCTAGAGCTGTCATTGTTTGAACGAGCTTCCATCCAAGAGGTTTCTGGTATAGAGTTCCTTCCTAATCTTAAGGAAGTTTCGGTTTCTGCTTGTCCAGACAACACTATGGAGGATGACATTCAATCTCTGAAGGATGATGCCGAGAAGAACCCTAGTAAGCCCACTGTCACTTTCAATATGAAAAAGTGGGTACCGATGAAGGCAAGGACAGATCCACCTTTAGATCATAGGGGGAACCTACGGTCTTCATATTTAGACAACTCTGATGATTTGTAATCTCTGATCACTCCCTTCTATAACTGAATTATTATGTCTCTGCAATGCTGTCGGTTGCACTCACCTTTGGTCCTGTAGTTTCGTCTCACCGTTGTGGCGTTGTTGGAGTATCATCATTGATTCTGTCATTAACTCATTAAGATGCAGTGTTGTCATGAAACAATAGCAGCACAGTTGCAATTTTTCTTTTGAAAAAAAGGAGGATAAATTGCCAATACAAATCAAATTAATCTGTGAATTATGTAGAAGTGTCTTTCTAGCCTGCCCCAACTTGCCTAGGATAGGAAGGCTTTGGTTTTTTTCTTTTTAAGTATGTTTGATTTTGCTGTTATGCAATTTGATGTTCAAAAGCGACAATAATTTCTGACTCTAGAGAGAAGTCCACAAATGGTGCCTAAATGTGCTTCACCAATAATCTTGTTACGGAATGTTATAAAAAAAGTCTTATCACAATTCTGATTCAGATGCTACTCCCTCCGTTCCATTATAAGACGTTTTGACTTTTTTGGTTCATTCATTTTGCTATGTATTTAGACATATTATTATATCTAGATGTATAACAAAATGGATGTACCAAAAAAGTCAAAACGACTTATAATTTGGAACGAAAACAGTACAAAAGAGCGATTTGCCAACAATTTTATTGCCAAGGGTGAACAGAGGGGATGCTGTTGATATGATGAAAATGGAAGAGTGAAACACTTGGGTAGCGTTTGGTTAGGGCAGGACAGATACAAGGTGAGAGATCTTCCTTCATCTACTGATTGATTTGGAGACACGGGGGACGAAGCATCTGGACCCGTTCGCTTCGCAGAAAAAACAAATCAAAACACTGTTCCGGCTAATTTGTTGTGAGAGAAAAGTATTGTTCCGGCTAAAAAAACCAGCTGAAAAAGACGGATTATAAGAGAAGCGAACAAGGCCAGAAAATGTTCTCTCCAGATTTTGAGTCCAAACATCCCCAAAGTTTGAGCGGGCCACCTCGTCCTCATTTAACTCTTCTTCGCATCGTGGTAGGCCATGACGCGCAGGGGGGCAAAGGGGGCATGGAGCATGGAGGGCGAGGGTGAGGCCAGGAACGCGGGGCGGGGGCGGTCATGGCAATCGGAGGCAAGAGCGGCTTGCGGGTGAAGGACAAAGAAGACAGTGGTGGAGGATGACATGCGGGCCCCACTTAGCTGTCTAGCAGATTTAAAATGATCATATATCCTCCCCTCTACGTCCCTTCTACCGAACACAAAACACGAACACAAAACAAGGATACAGAACGGGGACATTCTCACCAAACACAAACATGAAATGATTTCATTCCAGAAAAAGATCTCACTCCCCGTCCCATGTACCAAACCAAACGTGAAACAGGAACATTAACCAAACACAAAGATGTAATAGGGACGTTTCCATTCCCTCAACCAAACACAAATATGAGATGGTTCTGTTCCAGAAAAACTGAAATGGAACTAACCTCTCCCCTTTTTTTAACCAAGCGCAACCTTCTTGTCCCCAAACTAAAAGTAGCCACTAGTAGAGAAACAACATTTGATCCAGCTCAAAATTTGGCTTTAGTCCCCGTATTTTTCGCGCCCGGGACTAAAGATACCTTTAGTTCTGGTTTGTAGCTCCAATCGGGACTAAAGGTCCCTGCCCAACGGCTACTGCGGCAGGCTTTTGCTGCAGGGGACCTTTAGTCCCGGTTGGAGCTACCAACCGGGACTAAAGGTTAACTTTTACTCCCGGTTGGTCCCTCCAATCAAGAGTAAAAGTCTACTCCTGGCTGGAGGCTCCGTCCGGGACTAGAAAGGGACCTTTAGTCCCGGTTTCTGTCTTCAACCGGGACTAAAGGTCCCCTCCTATATAGTCATTCTTCCTCCCCGAGCCCGAGCCACTTCGAGCTCAGTGTTCTTGCTTTATCGCCGGCCTCTCTTCTTCGTCATCGCCGATAATCACAAGATTTCTTCGATTCCTCCATCGATTCTTCGATTCTAAAGGTTACCAACTTTATACTCTCATGTTTCATTAGTTGCATATCTCATTTTGTGGACTAGATATATGTGGTTTTTTATGGTGGATTTTTTTTATTTGTAAGCCATTTAAGCTCAAAATCACTTTAAAGTTTGCATATTTGGATGAAGGAAGGTTAAAGTAGTTATTCAAAACTAGTATTTAACTTTTATTTCTAGCATGCATAGCACACTTCATGGTTTAAAGATATAGAGAATTTTAGAGTTTTTTTTTAATTTTATTTGTTTATAAAATGAGAAATTTATATTATATTAAAAATGAGTATAGAGAGTAGATGTCAACTGCTTCCGGGTCCTCGGCCTCTCATCGGGTTCCAAAGCGACTGAGGCCGGACCTCCCTCTCATTGCATGCGGCAAGTGTGAGGAGAAGATTGTGATGGAGTACCGGGTGAGGAAGGAGTGTCCCAACAAGGGCCGTATCTTCTACAAGTATCCGGATCGCAATGTGAGTTTTTTTGTCGTATTTGATGATTATGGTTAATTTATACTTATTTTCATGATGATTGTGATTAAAGTTCTAATTTTTTTGTTTTAATTTCAGTGGGATGGCACTAGATGTTCAGGCTGGTACTGGGAGGAAGAGTATGTTGAACACGTGCAAAACTCTCTTGCACAAGCGGCTACGACGGCTGATGAGGCAGTGATCCTGCGGAAGAAGCCCATAGATGTTGAACAAACGCATGATCTGTCTGTTTTAGTTGTGATTGGTCGCGAAATCCTTATGCTGCTGAAGTGCATTTTAGCTTTAGTTTTTTAGTGGTAGTTGGGATTGTCTACATTGTAGCGAGACTTTCATAAATTAATACCTTGTGTGGTGGCATGCATGTCGTATAATTAACTAATTATGTTCTAGGTTTTAATATGGTATGTATGTCATGTAATGCAGATGAGCCGACATTGGATGTACAATGCTGATCGTCGCTCCCAAGAGTTCATTGAGGGCGTGCATTCTTTCTTACGTGTGGTCGAGGCAAACAAACGCGATGGTTTCATGTGATGCCCATGTGCCATATGTAAGAATTTGAATGAATATGCTAGCTCAAGGAGTCTTCATTCACACTTGTTGAAGTCGGGTTTTATGCGAAACTATATTTGTTGGACGAAGCACGGAGAAACCAGAGTTGTAATGGAAGAAGGTGAAGAAGAACAATGGGACGATGATGACATTATTGCTGAATATGGTGCCTTCAATGATACTGCAATGGGGAAAGCTGAAGAAGAGGTAGTGGCAGAAGATGAGCCGTTGATGATCTTGGTTAGGCCATTCGTGACGCACAAAAAGAATGCGAAAGTGAAAAGGAGAAGATCAAGTTTGAGCGCATGCTAGAGGATCACAAGAAATTGCTATACCCAACTTGTGATACTGGGACGAGAAAAAAGTGGGGGTACCTTTGGAATTGCTGCAATGGAAGGCAAAGAATGGTGTATATCGACAAGGGATTTGGGGAGTTCTTGAAAATCCAAAAGAAGATGCTTCGAAGGATAACGAATTGCCCGTCACTACGTCTGAAGCAAAGCAGTAGTCCGCCCTTTGGGATTAGAAATCCGAAGATACATGCATGTCCTAATGACTGCATCCTCTACTGTGGCGAGGAGTACGAGAAGTTAGATACATGCCCGGTATGTCATGCATCGCGGTATAAGATCAGGCGAGATGACCCTGGTGATGTTGAGGGCGAACGTCCCACGAAGAAAATTCCTGCCAAGATTATGTGATATGCTCCTATAATACCACGCTTGAAACGTCGTTTGAAACAAAGACCATGCAAAGTTATTGCGATGGCACAAAGAAGACCGTAAGGTAGACAATATGTTGAGACACCTGGCGATGGGTCCTAGTGGAGAGCAATCAATAGAGAATTCCCGAGTTTGCAAATGACGCAAGAAACTTAAGGTTTGCTTTTAAGTACGGATGGTATGAATCCTTTTGGGGAGCGGAGAGCGAAGAGTCATAGCACTTGGCTTCTGTTACTCTATGTATCTACAATCTTCCTCCCCGGTTATGCATGAAGCGTAAGTTTATTATGATGCGATTGCTCATCCAAGGCCCAAGGCAACTTCGGCAACGACATCGATGTGTACTGAGGCCACTAGTTGAAGAACTTCTACTTTTGTGGAATGCAGACCGGTGTGCGTGTGTGGGATGAGCACAAGCAGGGAGCACTTTGACCTCACGAGCATTGTTGTTCGTAACAATCAATGATTGGCCTGCTCTAAGTAATCTTTCGGGACAATCAAACAAGGGATATAATGCATGCACGCACTGTTTCAATGACATTAAAGGTATATTCTTGAAAAAATGTCGAAAGGTCGTGTACCTTGGCCATCGTCGATTTCTTCATGCGAATCACCCCCTAAGAAAGAAAGGCAAGCATTTTAAAGGTAAGGCAGACCACCAGACCAAGCCGGGCAACCGAACTGGTGAGGATGTACTCAATATGGTCAAGGATGTGAAAGTAGTATTTGGAAAGGCACATGACAGCGAACCTGTTCCGAACGACATCGACGGTCATGCACCCATGTGGAAGAAGAAGTCCATATTTTGGGAGCTACCCTATTGGCAAGTCCTAGGGTCCGTAGCGCGATTGACGTGATGCACCTGACGAAGAATTTTTGTGTGAACCTGCTAAGCTTCATGGGCGTGTATGGGAAGCCTAAGGACACACTTGAAGCACGACAAGACCTACGATGTTTGAAAGAACGAGACAACCTACATCCAGAGAAGACAGATGATGGACGTCATTACTTAAGTCCTGCCAGCTACACTCTTAGCAAAGAAGAGAAGGAAAGCATGTTTGAATGCCTAGCAAGCATCAAGGTACCATCTGGATTCTCCTCGAATGTAAAGGGTATAATAAATGTGTCAGAGAATAAATTCCTAAACTTAAAGTCCCATGACTGCCACGTGCTCATGACGCAATTGCTTCCAGTTGCATTAAGAGGAATTCTACCTCCAAATGTACGTCTAGCCACCGTGA